ATGATTTTGAAATTTCTTTTGATCAAGGTAAAAGGTGTATTGCTGAGTGTCCATCTGAATCTCTCCCAAACCAGTTAGGCCCTAGTGATGTTAGTTTCGAAACTCAACTTCAAGCTCACATTGTTGCAACCACTCTGCTTCTTCGTACTGGCTCTTTCTCCACCTTCTCTAAAAGAGACACCTTTCTGGTCTATTTCCTTGTGACTAAACTCAAAATCAAGTTGTCTTCCTGGGTCATCAATTTTATGATTGAAAGTGCAAATGATCCCACTAGTCTACCCTATGGTATGGCCATCATTCACATCCTGAAAGCTCACAATATTTCCATATTTGCATATCCCTTTATCTCTGTTTCGAAATCTTACAACTCCAGAGCTTTTGCGAGTATGGGGTATGTGTGTGTGAAGGGCTCATGGGTTAATAAACAAGAAGGAGAAGTCAAGCATGCTCAAACAGATTCCAAACCCAAACCTCTGCATCCCATCCTAGCCACAGTGGTCCTGACCTTGCTGAGAAGCTTAGTGCCATTGACAATCAGCTCTCTACAATCAAAGATCTTCTCACTGCCACTCAGTCCACTGTTGGTGACATTAATGCTATCTCCAAAGAAACAGGGCCTGATGTTTCCAAGATAAGAGTTGCAGTTCTCAGAGTAAGGGAAAACACTGTCAAGGAATTCAAGGAGGTTCATGACAGGCTTGATGGAATGAGTGTTTCAGCCAATGCAAGCTTTGATCGACTGAAGGAGGCGATCTTCAATACTCTTACCTATTTTCTGCGTCGTTAATGTGGAAGTTTAAGACAATCTTTTTTGCTGTGCTATTTTTGGACTGAAAAATCAGTCGGTGGATAATTTTTTGTGTTTTCTTTGTTTTACTATAACTTTGCCAGCATATCATGCTATAAATCCTGTTTTAGTATGTGGTTTGTTTTACTATTCCCTCTTTGCTAATGTTAAAAAGAGGGAGAAAGGATATATATATATTTGTACAGGTACATACAAGGATAAGTTAACTGAAGGGTAAGTGCAACTTAGCAGCTCGACACTTTTTAAGGGGGAGTCATAGATCCTGCAGAAGAAGTCGACTGCATGAGCCTCAACAGCTACAACCAGAGAAAGTCAACTGCTCTCACTGAGGGGGAGTAAAATACATGGAAGTCAACTGATGTTATACATATACATATATTATTTTGTCATCATCAAAAAGGGGGAGATTGTTAGATCTGATTTTAATGATGAAAATAATATATTTGTTCTTTGTATAGGAACTCATGGATAGCATTCAAGATTGAAAGAATCAATCAGAGAAGATCAAGGAACTCATGGATAGCATACAAGAATGAAGGAGTCAATTAGAGAAAATTAAGGAAAGCATCCAAGATTAAAGGAATCAATGATATTGATGTAATCAATTAAGGCTAGACTGAAGGAATCAAATCAATCAAGAGTATCGAAGATCTTGCAAGATAATCAATCAAGTATACTAAATCTGGAAGGATCAAGATTCAAGGAAGGATATTCTTGAAAAGAATCAATCTCTTTCCAAGGATCAAATCTCTTAGGTTGGAAAATCTCTCCAGAAATCAAGCCTCTCTCAAAGTATTTATTGTATCCGTACCTTAGCATATATACTTTGATCGAACCAAATACCCTCTCTTTGTTCTATTACAAACAAACATTGTAGCTCTACTAGACATGCTGTGTAACAAGTTAGAGAAGAAAGAGAGAACAACACTGGTGAGGCATTGTATCAAAGAGGAACGAGTGATATAGGAACTGAGCTATCGGTGTAGATCACACTATTCACTGTGTACTCGAGAAACTCATTCACAAAAGGAGAACTTCCTTGCAACCCAAGGGGACGGGACTATGATTCACATTGAATCTGAACCAGTATAAAAATTCTGGTGTCTTAATTCCTGAATTTAACATCTGCATCTTAAATTCTGTCCTTACTGTTATTAAGTTATTATATCTAATCGACTCATTAGAAAACTAGTCAACTGGTAGCGATTAATTTTAAAATTAAACAATTCAACCCCCCTCCCCCCTTGTACATTCAGTCTACAACTCATCAAAAGTGTCCTATTCTCCATCCAAACTCATTCACTGAAAGAGAACACCCTTGGGACCAAACACACACGCAAGTATATGTGGTCGTCAAGTAATAAAGTAACTCGAAAGTCGGATGTCGAACCCACAGAGACTTAGATTGATCGTTAACTAAGCAAACTAAAATTAATTAATTATCCAAGATAACCAAGAGTGATATTCTTCTATTATTCTACTATTGCGGAAATTAAACAAATAACAACTAAATCAACAAGAATGCAAATGGGTATGATGAGACTTTAATTCAGAGGAGATGAAGATTCCGGGGTTGTAGTTGGTTCATCAATCCTATTAAGTTCAATAATCACACTAGTTAATACAGATTATCTATGGTTGCTAATTAACCAGATCTTTTATATGAATAGCATGTTCCCACAATACTACTCGCATGCCCACAATATATCAACCCTATATTCCTATGGTATTGAGTCTATCATGAACGAATATAATACGATGTTTAATTAAGCAAGACTGTTAGGTATATTCCTATCCTAACCGCGAAATCTTCCCCCGAGCCACGGGTTCAGAAACAAGCTCTCTCTAATTCTACTCTAATCTAAACACGGCTTTCCCAAGCATAGCATAGATAGTAAATAGAATTCAACTGTTGGCCAGACAATTAAGCAATTATGCACAGAATTAGAGAAACAACCACAAGATGATAACCCGAATTAACGAATATGTAATTAATAACCGTTAATAATCATGTCAACCACAGCCCTAGAATGTGAAGTTTAGCTCCACATAGACATTTGGTAGCAAAACAACAAATCATCAAGACAAAGTAAAGATTACTAAGCTTGATTGAAGAAATATGGAATCTGATGAATTCCTGCCTCCACAGCGGCTCTGTGCTCTCCCCTCGTCTAATATCAGGTCTCCCTTGGTCTAATATGTGTCAAAAGTCTTCAAAATAGCATTTTTTTTTTATGTATTTATACCAAGTAAGGTTGGGCCTAGACAAAACACCCTTTCCTACGCAAAATAGGACTCTGGCTCTGTAAAATTTGTACAGGCACGCCACATGGGGCGACGCGCCACGCGGTGTGCTTATGGGAAAGTTCAGAGAGCTAATTCTGACAGGCTGCAGGAATTCTCCACAGGTGCGGCGCGCTCCGTGCCGCTATATGCGCCGCGGTAGTGGGAATTTGCAAATATGCAAAACATAAAAGTTGTAGCCCTTTCAAATAGCTTTCCAATGATATATTGTGGAGCCCAAACGGAGTTCTGAGCAAAAGGTTATGTGCATTTTACTAGAAAATGCGCCGTATGCCCGCTCGATTCTCTGTTTCGTTCTTAACTATCATCCGTTGATCCCCGAACACGATTCCGACTTGATTCCTTGGTCTTTTACTCAGACTTCAAAGCTCCAAATCACTTGAATTCATTCCATAATATATACATAGCTTGGAATCATTCCTACAAGGCATAAAATACACAATTAGTGAAGAACACTAGCGATTAAAGCTCAAACTCAATTAAAGTGCAGTAAATTAGAGTATAATAAGCGACTAACATACGCAATTATAGCCTATCATCAGGCATTGTATCAAAGAAAAACGAGTGATATAGGAACTGAGCTACCGGTGTAGATCACACCATTCACTGTGTACTCGAGAAACTCATTCACTGAAAGAGAACTCCCTTGCAGCCCAAGGGGACTGGACTAGGATTCACATTGAATTCGAACCAGTATAAAAATTCTGGTGTCTTTAATTCCTGTATTTAACTTCTGCATCTTAAATTATGTCCTTACTGTTTATTAAGTTATTATATCTAATCGACTCATTAGAAAACTTGTCAACTGGTAGCGATTAATTTTAAAAATAAATAATTCACCCCCCCCCCTCTTGTACTTTCAGTCTACAACTCGTCAAAGTGTCCTATTCTCCATCCAAACTTACTGGGCTCAAATATTCATGCTACCAAAGAAGATTACCAAACTAGTAGGGGCAATTTATAGGAGCTTCCTATGGACAGGGGATAACACTATATCAAAGAAAGCTCTCCTAGCTTGGGAAAGAGTCTGTCAACCCAAATCAGCAAGGGGATTCAATGTAATGGACATAGGCCTATTGAACAAAACAGTCATCAGCAAGCACTTATGGAACTTATGCAAGGAGAATAATAAGCTATGGATACAATGGGTGCATTGCTACTATATAAAAAGCAAACATGCATGGGAGGTGCAACCTAGCCAAGCATCATGGATTATGAGAAAGATTCTGAAAGCCAAAGAGAACTTTGAGAAAGTGGGATACACCTATGAAGATCTAATGCAGATGCAAACTTGCGCTCTCTCTCTCTCTCTCTCTCTATATATATATATATATATATATATATATATATATATATATATATATATATATATATATATATTGCGAGGTGACTTCAACAAAGTGAGCTGGAGGTGACTTCAGCAAAGTGAGCTGGAGAAAGTTGGTGTGCAACAATGCAGGCTGTCCTAGGTGGATTTTCACGCTAACATTGGTGGCTCGTGGCAGGTTATACACAAAAGATAGGATACTAAGATGGGGCATCCATAGTGATCAACTATGTCCCTTATGTTCACATGCAAATGAAAATATTCAAACATCTAATTTTTATATATATATATATATATATATATATATATATATATATATATAAATTAATTACCATAAAAAAAATACAATACGATACATTATGAAACAATCATCTAAATAAGTTATAAGTATCATAATAGAATATAAAAATTATTCTAGTCACACTACCATTCAGATTAAACTGTCTCATGAGCAAACATTTGATACATTATACGTTTATAACTTTATCTCAATTTAAGACTTAGCCTGTCTTTGGTATGACAGAAGTCGAAAATATTTTTCGGAAAATGATACGTACTCTTCGCGAGCAATTTTTATGATGGATTAAGTTCACAGATATATATAACATCTCTTCTCACAAATATAAAGGACAGTAAACTGAATTAGTTACAAGTGGTGAATTATGGGCAAAAGCACAACTTTTTTTTCTAGTATAAATGCTCATATATCTTGCATTTCCTGGTCATTTCTATTATTGACGAGTCCTCTTTCGATAACAGCATCTTTTATTTGCTTCATAGAATCTTCAAAATCATCAAGTAGTTGTTGTGGATCAGGAATAGCACTTTCATCAATTGATAGGACGATAATCATCTTGTTCACATAGCTTTGGAAATTGATTGTCAATGCCTACAATTGAAAAAAAAATGGTATCCCAACATTAGAAAAAGGGCAGCTCGGAGCACAAGGCATTCCGCGTTCACGTAGGATCCGGAAAAGAACGCGCGCCCAACAGTGGCAGATCTACATAGATCGTTATGGGTGCTCAAGCACCCATTGTCTTGGACTAGATCTAGTAGATTTATATATGCAATCAATCAAAAATTTGGATAAGTATTGAGAGAGCACCCACAATTAAATTTTTTTCCCCTCTTTTTTTAGAATTTTTATCCTCCAGCACCCACAACTTTGAAATCTTGGATATGCCACTGGCGCCCAAGACAGTAGTGTACGTAGAATATTTCATAAGCGGTATCACAATTTGCAGAAGTGGACTAATAAACAAATCACTATAATGGTAAGTGGTATCATTATTTTTCTATTTATCCTCAATATTTTTATTTTTCTTAAACATATCTATTAAAAAGAATATGACGAAGCTAGTCGTGTTCCATGACACCGCATCCAACAAGGTGCGTACGCCCCCCGCCTCAAGGGGTGTGATGTAGACAATTTATCAAAATGCTAGTATTAGTGGCAGATTTCACGACTTGAACTCGTCCGTGACCTATAGGTCACATGAAGATAACTTTATTATTGCTCAATGGTATCCTAACATTGATCTTCAATATTTCAATAATAATGTGAATATTGTAATTAAAATAATCTACTTACTATAAGCTAGTGACATTAGTATGAATTTTGTGTGAGAGTAAAGAAAAATTATAATCAAGTTTCCTATTCAAGACTTAACTGATTTACAACAACAACAATACAAACTCATGTAATCTTATAAATGAGGTATGGGGAGGATAGTGTGTATGTAGACTTTACCCTATCATATGCGGATAGAGAGACTGTTAACTAATTTATACGACGAAAAAAATCAGCCAAATGCAAAAGGAAACAATTGTATAACAGTGGAAAAATACAATGCTTACATTTGGTTGGCCATAAGAAGTTGGAGCAAAATAAGCTAGGGGATGGCCACAAAACTCAATTTCCTCCTGTGGTCCAACCAAGTTGGTGAAGCAAATTGTTGCACTTGAAAATACTCTATGAGTCATAGCACTCACTGCCTAACAATCAAAGATCAACATTCATCACATCATGAGGTTCAAACTTTCAAAAAGAAAAGATAGGAAGAATAGCCTAATAGACATCTCTACTTGTCTCGTTTTGATATTTCAGTACCCCTACACCACGGGGTTTCATACAAGACACTTATAGTTGTTAAAACGCACTATTTCGGAGTTTCATAAAAGGCAGACTGATGCACGAAGCATCTCGCATTCATGCAGGATCCGGAGAAGGACTGCAACCCAAAGGGACGTGATGTAGACAATCTACTATCAGTGGTTGATTCTAAGGCTCGAACTGGTGACCTATAGGTCGCGCAGAGACAACTTTACCGTTGCTCTAACGTTCCCCATCACTATTTTGAAGTTGCATAGAGGGCAGTCCGGTGCACAAAGCATCTCGCGTTCATGCAGGATTTGGTGAAGGACCATACCCCAATAGGGTGTACATAATGTAGACAGTCGTCCCTAATGCAAGCATTAATGGCTGATTCCAAGGCTCGAATCCGTGACTTATAGGTCACACAGAGACAACTTTACCGTTGCTCCAAGATTCTCCTTCACTATTTTATAGTTGCATGCCTAGCATAATTTTGAAGTCGGACAAGTAGAGGTGTCTATTACGCTAATCAGTTAGTACCATAATTTTGAAGTTGCATATATACATACCTTGATGCCAAATATCTTGCTGAATAATTCTGCCATGACCAAAGTGTACAAAGCTTCAAATGAGTTCTTCTTTCTATCAATGGTTGCCTTAGCTTCTTTAACATAATCTAAAGGATCATCACGTAGTGCAATCTTAAAGGGTAAAAGAGCACAACCAAACCAATTTCCCCAACCTCCCCACTTCCCTTTGCTATCCTTCTCCATCATATCAGCTAAATCCTGTATTTTTAAACATATCATAAGGTTAATTTTCTGTATTCTTGAATTTAATACTAGCTAATGAAACTTTACTACTTTAGTTTAAGTAGTTAGTATTAGATAGTACTACCTTCATCTCATATTATACCAACCAGTTTGAGCGGGTACGGAGTTTTAAGAAAATAAAGTCTAGCTTTTGGAATAGGGATCTTTATACAAATAGCCGGTTGAATTCACTGTTTACTTTCCTAGTCGGTATACATAGTTTATACACTAATTATACATAGTTATACATATATTATATATGATATACATATATTTTACATTTGTCGGCTGGTTTTAGTTTAAGCAGTTGGGTGTGCGACTAATTAGGTTAATTCTTCTTTAGAATATGTGGTCTTAAGCAAATATGACATTTACGTGGATATAAATCATTAAGGATAAAATGAGAAATTTAAAATTAAATAATTTCTACATATATAAATATAAATAAAAGAGTGTAACATAAAATGGAACACAAGGACCTAGTAATATTTTGTAAATTGCCTTCAAAAACGATAAAATTAAAATTATTCAATAATGGGCTTAAAAAAGGGTGTAAATTATCGGGCAAAGATCACTTTTAGCCCGCGGTCAAAACTATTTACTTCCGTTAGTTGAAAAAGTGTATAAAATTTATATATTTTTTATATATAACGTACAGAAATGTCTATATATACAAAAAAAATACAAAAAATATATTTTTCGGATATTAATGATATTAATAAAAATAATAATACCTGAATTCCTGGTGTTGATCTTAAGTTGATCATAAGACAAGATCGAAGTCGAATACCAAGGGGAAGATTGTTGTTTTCCTCAGTGTCCCCCTTGTCTTCCTTACCAACAGCTGCAAATATTATTTAAATCAGTGATAAAGGAATGAATATCTCATATATTTTACTAGAATTTTTAAAGTATAAATAATGTAAAATTTTCACTTACCATATCTCCTGTTGAGATACTTAGATAAACCAGCTTGAGTAATTCCCAAGGCAACATCATTTACAGTCTGTGGAGTATAATATATATTAGTATAGGACACAATGTTATGTAAATTTCACTGAAAAATTCTTAAAGAATTTCAGGAGCATGAGCTAAGAAAAAAAATAGTAAAACGAAACTAAGCTCGGGTCAATCTATGTCTCAGTAGTTGCTTGAGAAAGGACCACTCAATCCACACAGGTTCTCGTAACTGCCTTTCAAGTAGAACCTCAAAGACAAGCTAATGGTTCTAAATTTTGAAATGACGACTCTTTTATATATATTTAATGTAAAATTTAACACAAATACATTATTTGATCAAAAGTTATTGAGTTTGATCGAACCTATAGCCGGGCTTCTAGCTCCGCCCCGGTGACAAGATCTCTTAGAAAAAAGGGAGAATAGGTTTATCCTACATCATAATTAGAAAGCATTTTATGGTATTTTCTAAATCTATTTTGGGTTTAACTTATATACATTTTAGTTATGGGGAACTTAGGGGCCAATTACGGAGAGTCGAAAACTATTGTATCTTTTCTAAAGCGGCACCATGGACGGTCGTCAGGGGCGAAGCCACACCTTGGTTAGGAGGGTCAATTGACCACTCTTTGTCGGAAAATTATACTGCGTATATAGGTAAAATATTAGGTTATAGAGGTACACAACATATATTGGACACTCTTTGTCGGATTTTTTTAGTTATTTCAAGTTTGAACACCCTTAATAAAATTCCTGGCTTCGCCACTGACAACCGTAGAGGCCTGAAAAACAAGACAGTCTGAAAAAAGGGTCTTCGACCTGAGAGAAGAGAGTAATTAACTTACCAAGTTCAAAGCATTTTTGACCAACTTCATATCATCCAAACTGATAGTTCGATGAACTATTCGTCTAATTTTAGACTTGGAATCTGCAGCCAAATTATTGATAGGGGTTTCTGTATCTTTCAAGAATACAAGTGTGGCTATGAACATGAAAATGTCCACTATTGTATTCCCAATCATTCTTATGAAAATCCAAACTGCTAACACATACCCCCATAACCCTAATAATCCTCCTTCCACTTCTGATATACCTGCAAAAAGATTAATTAATTAGTTAGTTTAACTGTCTCATTTAAAAGTTTAAGCAACTAATTCGTTCGTTTTTTTATATCTGGTCATAATCTCCTATACCATATACCATTTTGTAATAAATATATTTTGTTATTATGAACATCTTATCTTAAAGCTAGCTACTTTTGTGAGTAGTTAAAGTCTATGTTGCGCGAACCCTTCAAAATATTGTTGCACCCATATTGGATATTTCAAAAATACACTGCTTTTGGAGTATCCGACACGCACCAGGCGATATTTTCGGAGAGTCCGAGCAACATAGGTTAAAGTATTTAAAAAGTACTCCAGCCCAATTTGTTTTAAAAAGAATAATATCTTTCTATATTTGGAAGCTCTTTGATATTAAACTTTCCCTTTTATCTCAATGACGTATTTTATATAACAATAAAAATATAATGACATGTTTAAGACTATAATTAAGTTCTAATGGTTTGGTATGTGTCAAAAGTCTTTTATTTTTTCTTAAATATCATGCGCAGTCAAACACAATCATATAGTAATGAAGGAGTAAATGATAAAACTATTGGATTTTATTAACCAAAATCCTTTTCAATAGAATCTGTTGCATTCACAAATTCGTTGTTTCCATAACTTCTTACTTAATGGTTAGGTCTAAATTCTACAATGGAACTCACAATAAAATTGATCGTTGAGTCAATCTTCTCAGTCTTTATAGGCTCGAAGTTCTTAATTTTTTGTTCTATCTAGCTTTTCAAATATTTAAACCGAGCCAAGACAAGATGATTCCTTTTTTTTTTAAATTAAGACAAAAGTATGGTTGTCTACATCACACCTCTACAGTGCGAGCCTTTCTCAGACCCTGTGTGAATACGAATACTTTATGGACCAGGACCCTGCGGCCCTGGTGCATATCATCGTGTCTAAATCGAGCCAAGACACGTTGATTCCTTTTTCTTTAATTAAGACAAAAGTAGGGTCGTCTACATCACACCCTTGCAGTGCGACTCTACCTCGGACCTTCCATGAATACGAATACTTTATGCATCAGGTTGTCGTTTATGTCTTTGTGCTTAAAATAAGAAATAAAACGAGAGCTCAAAAACTAAAAGAAATCAAACCTGAGTTATAAGTAGGTCTTCTTTTCTTGGTAGGAATAGTAGGAAGCTTGAGTTCATCAGCAGTTTGACGAGTACAAGCTAATAATAGAGAAATTAAAGAGGTGCCATCACCAAGAGAATGATGTGCACGAAATATGCTCATAGCTTCAGCATCACGAGTTTTAATATTTAAAAGATGAAATTCCCATAGTGGCTTTGATTTGTCAAGACTTGTTTTAGTAAGATTGTGAACATAATCTTCTATGTATTTTTCTGGTGATAATTCCAGCTTACTTTCATCCACTTCTGGTATTATAATATGTTGGTTTAAATCAACTTTTGTTTGTACCCATTTCATTTCTCCTCCATTTTCTTTATCCACCACCTGTAATTAATATTTCTCAATAATTTGTTTAGCATGTATCATCAGTGGCGGAGCCAGAATTTTCATCAAGAGGTGTCAAAATATAAATAATTAGATACACCGAAAAGTTAAGGGGAGTCAACATATAGTACATATGCATAAAATACGAAAATTATCTAGCAATATAGTGTAATTTTCTGGCGAAGGGGTATCGCTTGACACCCCTTGGTTCAATGTGGCTCCGCCACTGTTTATCACTACTAAAAAAAAAAAAACAGGAATTAGAAACGGACAATTCGTAGCTAAACAGAAAAATTCATCACTGATCCTATTTAGCCAGAGGCGGATTAAGGATGTAAACTCTATGGATTCAACATTTAAGGTACTTAATATTGAATTTATTATATCCTTGAAGTTATGGGTTCATATCTACAATTTGTTGCGATTTTAGTAAATTTTTGCACATAAATTTGTGTTCCGCATCGAAAGTTATGGGTTCAATTAATTAAACCCGTTGGTATAGGGCTACATCGACCCTTGTATTAAGCAACGAATTATTAAGAAGTTCTGTACGAGCGATTTAGCGACATATTAGCGACGAAGTTCGTTACTAATTTCAAATTTTTTTTAGTGTATGATGCATGAATCTTGAGGTATACACATTTACTTTACGTGCAGAATATAGAGAAGAAAAAAAAAAAGCAAAGAGAGACGTAACAAAATAAGTACATGCAAAGAGCACTCGTAGAAAAGTTGTGTTTTAGTTTAATTTAAGGTGGTTGATTGCACATTCTCTTTTAATCTTTCTAAAAGAGTGGAGTTAGAATTTGAAATTAATGAGCTCTAAATTTTCCACTTAACATACAGCTCATCGTGATTACTAGGTTCACAATTAAATATTTATATATATTCAATAATTTTCTAATACAAATACAAGCTAAGATCCAAGCAAAAGTACTGAATTTGTCCAAACCCGTACCTAATGCTCTCAAATACAAATTTTAACCAAATATTGTTTTAATTTGAACAAGGTGCCAAAAACAAAAGCATCAAAATTTATCACCCTTTTCAGAAAGACATAACTTATATATATACTGACAATATATATAAACAGTTTTTACATTAATACAGTGTATTTTAACATGTTGTATACAAGCCGCTTGTTTCATTTTCTAAGTTACTAATCCCACTTATTTTAGAGAATGTCTAGTTATCTTTTACACTATCATTGCGTATATAGAAGTTAAGTTTTTTTTTTTTTTTTTAAAGAATTTACACGAACAAAACCAATATAAAAATTATAGAAACTAGAGTTGGAATTTAAAGCGGCTTGAATATATTCTACTGAATCTATTGCATTCGACTCAATTCACAAGTATGTATATATATATATATATATATATATGCAAAATCAAAATATGCATATTTACAAACTTATAAATTAACCTATAATCTCATTGACAATAAATCATAAATTCGCCTCTAATGAAAACATATCAGGGTACTAACTTCACAAGTATATATGCAACTATAACATATGCACGTGTACAAACTTATAAATTAACTCATAAACTCGTTGACAATAAATTTTGAATCCGTCTCTAATGAAAACATACCAGGACGCTAACTTCACGTGTATATCTACAAAAACAAACTATGCATACGTACAAACTTATAAATAATTAACTTATAAACTCGTCGACAATAAATCATGAATTCGCCTCTTCCTCTAATGAAAACATACCAGTACGCTAACTTCACTAGTATATCTACAAAAACAAACTATGCATATGTACAAACTTATAAATAATTAACTTATAAACTCGTCGACTATAAATCATGAATTCGCCTCTAATGAAAACATACCAGGACGCTAGTGAAACGTGGATGCTTAAGCAAAGTATGAACCAACTTGTCTTTAGTAGGCTGTGGAGAAATCCTAGTTTTGCAAAACATAATGGCCATTACATGAATATTTAATATAGGATTTAAGAACATTTTTGCTGTGGGACTCAATGGTTCTTCTTCTTCAACTTCCATTTCCAACTCTTCTATTGTTTTTCTCTTTGTTTCTATTGGTTTCAGAAATGGTTTTCTACATTTGAGTTCAGTGGAGGACTCCATTATTTTTCAGCTTTAATTTTATGTCAAAAGGAAGGTAATGAATATATAAGTTGAAGTATTAAAGAAAAGGAATTGTTTTATAGTAGGTGTTTGTTTTGCATATATAAAGATTGAGAGAATTTGTTCTACCAAACTTGTCATTCTTCTTGCATTTTGAAAGATGCATTGAGATTAAAATATTACTCTGTCCATCACATTACGTATGACATTTTAATTGTGTACAAATTTAAAATGGTTATTTTGATTTTTATATATACTCTTATTATACTGGGATAGTAACAAATAATAAATTATACAATGTTAAAATCATAGTTTTAAAGTAAATTCGGTAAAAAACACATTACATAAAGAAATGATATTTAAATAATGTACACCCGTAAGTGTAAAATCATTTTTACCTGTTTGTAACAAGTAACCTATCTTATTTCAAAATTACAAATTCTAGATTTTAAGTGGGTGACGGTGTATATTACTTAAACTCATTTAAGATTTGCACATTCCATTATTTTTGGTATTTCTTTCTTTTCGCATAAACTGCTTTTATATTATATTATGTCAAAATAAAAGTCACAAAATACCTATAAAACGCACGGAGAGGAAGTCTATGTTCATAACTAATTAGCAGGAACGAGGAAATTTCGTAGCCCATGCTGATATTGAAGTTGCCCTTTTTGGGCAAAAGATCAATATTCAGGCAGGCACTTCAGCTGATTTGGGTATACGTATAGTTGGATCTTCTCTATAGTAAACAGGGGCTGAGGGGCGGATTCAGAATTTGAAGGTTATGGATTTGAATTTCTAGTTCTTGGGTTCGGTCGAACTAGTAGCTAATGGGCTAGCTTTGCCCATGATTGTAAATAATAATGGCTAGTTTTTCTTGCTTCGGTTATTTTAGTATCTTATTGTTTGTTATCATTGTTTCTTTTTTTATTTTTTCTTGAGCCGAGAGTCTAGCAGAAACAATCTTTCTACCTTCACATGGTACAGATGAGATCTGCATACATACTACCCTCTTTAAACCCCGCTTTTCGAATTACACTGGATTTTTTTAATTTGTTTTTTGGTTGTTGTTGTTGTTGTTGTTGTAGGGGCTAGTGCTTCTTTGTCAAATATGTCATGATGGCTTGCATCATAACATGCAAGCCTGCTTTTGCTTCTCAACTTTTGGATTGCACAAGTACTATAGTAGGCAGAATAGCCTGGGAGACACTTGTACTTATTCCGGTTTGTCATCCCGGTCCCTACACTCCATAAAGTTTCATTCAGACACTTCAACTTAATCAAAACAAGATTTTTAAACACCTCCGGAATCGTGTGATGCTCGCTTGCTTGACGTGGATGACAAATGAGCATCCACATCAGATTCTATACCAAAGTAATATTATTTAACAAATTTTTAATTTCATAAACAAAAAATAAAATAAAAAAGCAAAAAATTAAAATTAAAATTAAAGAAAACCCCTCCTCCCTTCTTCAAACCCACCCACTCAACCTTCTTAAAATAATAACCCACCTGCCATGGCTCCTCCACCATGAGTATCACTACTTCCTTCACTCCTCTTTTAAAGAAAGTTATCTATCCTTGAAAAATAGGTGAGCAGAGAATTAAGTCTTTTGAATTTTGACTTATTCCTCTACCCCAATTTGGAAGGTCCGTGAAAAAATTTGAAAGCTAAGACCACCGGAAAAAATGGAGGAGTCAAAGAGAAGGGTAAGATGACATGATGGAAGAAGAAATACACACCAAGAAGAAAATCTAATGAAAGAAGGGATGAAAAAAGATGAAGAAAAAGGGGAAGGGAGGGGATCGTAAAGAAAAGACGAGAGAAGAGGCGGGAGTGGG